TATAGTGATATGGTGCTAAATGTATTGTATATGAGTAAATGCATATGTTTAATTGATTGAATTTATCTTTATATGTGACCTGTGTAAATGTATGTATGTATGACAATAGGTTATGTGATCCCATGAGATGAAATATATATGTGAAAGTGATATGACTTATATGTGTTTCTACTAGAATGTTACATGATATGCTATATATGCTAAATGAGTGTTGTGAATACATGATAGTGTAATAAGCTAGGTTAAATGTTATAACTGAATGAAGGGATTGTATGAGAGCATGTATATGCGAACATGTGTTATGTGATAAGAATCATGACTATGAAATATGAGAAAAAGAATACAAGTAAAAGTGATAAGCTATGTGATAAGTTAATGTGAATTACATGGAACTATGCTACGTGAAAGTAAACTATGTGTCTACGTGAATATGTGAAAAGATATAAAAGGTAACGCCCATGTAATGTGTTATGAGAGCTATAGGTATAGTTGGCATTCCAAGAGTCGAGGGTTCTACATGGTCCTATGGGACATATGTGTTCTGCGTGGTCCTATGGGACATAGTGGTCCTACGGGACATAGTGGTCCTACGAAACAAATTCTACGCGCCCCTAGTTGGAATTATACGAGCTGTGGTGACAACATAGTGCACAACCTCTATGTACTCACATACCTTAAGTTCTCAGTAGTGTGCATGGGCTAACCAAAACAATAACGATAAAATGTGAGTTGTAATGAGAAATGTGTTACATATTTTATATGATGATATATGTGAATGTGTGTATATGTTACCGGAAAGAATGTGTGTTATGGGTTATGGCATTTATTATGGGATGTACATGAATATATGGTAATGTATATATATGAATGAATATTAATGACTCATATGATGATGTAAGAACATGTTATAAGATATAGAATATGAAAATAAGAGATCATATGAACAAGAGATAAGAGATAGAAAGAATACTCATATAAGAGTATGAGAAAATATAAATGGTGACATGCATGTGTGTATGTAATTGTTACATGAAAAAGTATGTATACCAGTATGACGTTGTATTACATGATATGTACATGCATTTGATAATTTATATATGTAATTTATATGTCTCACTAAGTCTATGACTTAGCGTGTGAGTGTTTCACACGTAGGTTTAGGAAAGCAGGAATAGGAGCAAGACATGTTAGTTTCTCCTTACCGAAGGACAGATCAGAACCTAAATGAATAACATGTATTTTGTTATATATAGAATATAGTTAGCATGTAGTTAAAAGATTTGTATTAGATACGCTCTGATCAGTTTTGTAAAAGCATATGTTTTATATCATAGAAAATAAATGGTTTTATTAGAAATATCAAACTGAATCTTGGGTATTTTGTAAAAGTAAATGTTTTGACAAGTCAATGTGACACCTCAGACTCGTATCCGGGTCGGGTACGGGTTGGGGGTCTTACAGTTACTATTTTTTTTCTAGCATTTTAATCAATATAATTAGATTTTATTACAATTAGGTCCTTGTATTTTTTTTATTTTATATTTCTTTATATTTTTTGTTGTTTTTTATTTTAATTATTTTTAAGTTTATTGTGTTTCATAATTTTAATTTTCTAGATTTAGTTTTTAAATTAGGTATCAGGTTAGAAATTAGGTGGACACTTTACTTTAATTAGGGAATAATTCGATTCGAGTTTTCGCACTAAAAATGCCAGATTATTCGAATCGATTATTCGAATCCTTAAAATATATTAATATATTTCATTTATTTAAAAAAATATTATGACTTTGAGTTGAATTAATCCTTTAAATTTTAAGATTTATAGACTCAGGTCCTTAAGTTTTAGATTTTTACATTTAGATCTCATAATTTTAGTTCTTTTATTTTAATCCTTTGACCATTTGGTCCCCAAGCTTAATTAGAACTTTATCATTTACATAATCAAATAGGATTAATATTAGAGCCTACGTTTTTAGATTTGAGCCCCTAAGTTCCTTAATTTTCATAATTTGACACCTTAAGTTAGAAAAAACCTTAATTTACCTTAGATTAATTAGGATTGAATAAAATTTTGATTGATTGCATTTTATCTTAACTTTAAGGAACTGTACACTTATTCAAGGAATTAATAGTATATCTCCCACAATCATGCTCAGGGGGTGACTACTGGTAATTCCCTAAATAGGTAGACATCCTTTTTAAAACCGCATCATATTTTTCTAAAAATGAGGCAATGTTTGGTTATTAGGCACAATAGCTAATCTCCCGCATTTACGCTCGGGGACGAATTCTATTGGTCTCGATAAACGGATACCATTTTCAACTTTGCATCTTTAATGATTTTTAAATTAAATAAAGATCGAACCCAAGATTTATTATTTTAAATATAGGGTAATCAATTAGGTACCAATTTTTGGGCGCTTATGGGGGTGCTAATCCTTCCCCACGCATAATCGACTCCCTAACCTGATTTCTGGATTTTTGTAGACCCTAAAACTTGATATTTTATTAAAATAAAATGTTTTATTAAAATCACCCAGTTTTTACGGTGTTCCAATCGCGCCTTAAATGATTGGTGGCGACTCCTCACATTTCAAAACACTTTTCAAAGAGAAAACCCTCAAGTCGGTATTGGTCTTTCCCGACCTGGGAGAAAAATGATGTCGACAACTTTCAATTTATTGTTAGAATATTTACAAATTTTGGTTACGTGTTTCAAATGAAATAATGGTAAACCCACTGATTCACCTAACTCATGATTTGAAGTATTAATTCCTATTCAGACTTGGAATAAATTCAACGATGTCAGTGGTTGTGAGCCACAATGAGAAGCATGTGAATTCATGACATAGCGACATAAAATGTTATATTTAATAATGCCGAATATGGTCAAATATAGGATGTTTCTCCTATTTATAGAGAAGATGAGATATACATTATTGTCATTAAAGCTTGAAACCATTCTAAGTTTTTATGTCAGAATTACATCTTGAATGGATTGTCAGATACACCATATGAAGTGTATAGTATCTATAAGATTACTAAAGAATTATGAATGACGTTTGACCTCGTTCTGAGTTATCATAGAACATGTGGAGGAAGCTATTTTATTAACAAATTACCTTTAAATAAGTTAACTTACAAGAAAATAGGCGAGACAGTTCCTACAACTACATTAAAGTGTGGGGTAGGTGCCTTGTATAAGTATAATGGTAAGTCGAGACACATACGTCGTCGACATAATATCATTAAACAATTGATCTCAACTAGAGTTAACTATATTGATTTTGTAAGATCAAAAGATAACATTGTGGATCCACTAAATAATGTTAAATCGAGATCAAGTTTATAAACATCAAAAGGAATGTGAATATAGCCCATTAATATTTAAGGCGCTATGTGAAGGAAAACCCAACCTAGTTGACTGAAGATCCCAAGATCTAGGTTCAATAGGACAACCTACTTGCATAGACCTTGTGAAGTCACTGTAGGAGTCATTATCCCAAGTTCATTCCTATGATGAAAATAGTGGCTAAAATGTGGAAAAGGTTAAGTAATTCTTTTAATGACCACTATATATTTCGTTGAATTAAACAACATAAGTCACGTATGTGAGAGTGAAGTGGGGATGCTTCAAAGAGACTATTGGGGCATAGTTCTCTAAGATCTTGCAGAATCAGGAGATGTCCACGGCTATATGGACATAACCATGAGAACCAAATTCTTGTCAATGAGATATTTGTGTGAGGTATGTCATCGCTTACACCAACGGCAGGACAATTCAAGGACATCACGTCTACTGGACTATAACATCCCAAAAATAGGGCTAGTGATCGAATGAAAGTTTTTGAAATTCGATTATCAATTTAGGAAAAATTAAAAAGTTGAGGGACTTAAATATGAATATTTTGGTATTGGATTAAATAACAAGGAAGGAAAGAATGAAGGGTAATGTGGTCTTTTTATTTAAAGGATATTTATCTCTTTATTAATAGATAAGTATGTGGGGTGAAAGTTATCTGGAAGCTTATTTCTCTTGTCTTCTTCTTCTTCTTCTCGTTAGCCTCAAGTCAAAGGTAAGTTTAATTGTAGTTGTTTATTTCTTGAACTTGTAAGTTGGTTTTTGTTCTTTAGGTGTTATATAAGCTTAAGGAAAACTTATATAATATTAAAACATCAAGAGAAGAGAATTAGAAAGGAAATTGTAATAAGGGTGTAGAAGTGAATTGTTAATAGGATATAGTTTTTGAAGTTTTGTTGATAAACTTGACATGTCATAAGAATGATTAAGAAATCTAAAGTATTAGAAATGAGTTTGGAACATATTGAAAGTTTAGTAAAATTCTTAAATTCAAGAGTTACAGTAATATATTGAAGATAATGAAGTGTTATAGTGCTAAAATATGGTTTAAGTATGTATAGTTAAGTTTAAAGGCATGAAGAGAGTTAAAAAAGTAGAGTTTGGGGTAAAGTGTTGAAATTTTCGGGTTTAAGGAAATATATTTTGGGTAGTAGTATCAGTACTGGTTGAGTTAGTACCGATACTATAAGGTAAATTTTGTGATAATTATACGTAGGGTATCGATACTGTATGAACAGTATCGATACCATAAGGAAGAAGAGTGATAAATCTTCATAAGGTATTGATACTGAAGTGATAGTATCGATACCAGGGGTATCGATAACAATAGGGAGGTATCGATACCAATTTTGCAATGAAATTATAGAATAGAAAATAGGTATCGATACCATGGAAGGGTATCGATACTACAAGCATAGAAGTATCGGTACTGTGCTTGTAGTACTGATACTACTTAAGTTGGAAAGTTAAAATTAATGTTTTATTTAGTTGGTATTGGTAAGAATCTTTTCGAGTAATTCGAATCTCGATAATCATTGGATTGTATATTTGTGTAGATATCGATCGAAAGCAAAGTTCGGACAGGCTGTCAGAGTAAGATTTACGAGAGGGAGTTAAGAGATTGGTATTGTCAAGTGAGACCAAGGTGAGTACATGATATCAAGTATAAGTTATATTAGGGAATTAAGATTTGCGATGAGTCTAATTCCGATATTAGATTACATGAGTAGACTCAATGAGAATTTTACATGATATATACGATATGAAGCTATGAGCTTATATGACTATGTGATATGAAGGTGTATATATGAAAAACATAAATGATAATGCCCATGTTATGTGTTATGAGAGCTAGGGGTATAGTTGGTATACCAAGAGTCGAGGCTTCTATGTGGTCCTTCGGGATATATATGTAATCATTTGGAACATATATGCGGTTCTTCGGGACACATATTTGGTCCTTTGGAATATGTATGTGATCCTTAAGGAGTGGTCCTTCGGGACATCTCTACGTGGTCATTTGGGACAAAATCTATGTACCCCTAGTGGGAATCAATGTACTCACATATCTTTAGTTCTCAAAAGTATACATGGGCTAATAAAGAAATAAAACAAATACATTGAATGTGAGATATAGATGATGTTGTGTTTATTAATTGGTTATTATACGATATGATTATGAAGGGTATGTATAAGAGTATATAATTATAAGGACTAATGATAAGATTGGTAATAATGAAAATGATGGTACACGAGTATGTGTGAATGTGTATATGATTTGGTATGATATTATGGTATTTAATGTACATGTATTTTTAAATAGTGAAAGTTTTCATAATTCATTTATATGTCTCACTAAGTCTATGACTTAGCATGTGAGTGTTTCACACATAGGATCCGAGAAGTTCCAAAGAAAAGATAGGCAGTGGAGATAGCGTAACTTCAGCAAAGATCAGATCAGAAAAATTATAGTAGGTTTCCATTTTGTATTATAGTGTTGGCATGTATTTAAAGAATTAAATTGTATACGCTCTGAACATTTTTTGTAAACTTTTTGAGTTGATATATGTAAATTATTCAGTATGTTTAAATTTTAAATATAAATTTTTCCTGTATTTTATATAAGTAATGATTTAAAAGGTTGATGTGACATCATATACTCGTATTCGGGTCGGATACAGGTTGGGGGTGTTACATGGATAGCCAGTAAGGTAAACATATTTTCACAAAGGAAGGTTTAAAGGGGGACTCCTGTCTATCCTATGCAAATATCAAACGTATAATCTATCACCATATCGAGTCAGTGTTTGAAATTATCAATTTCATTCATGTGGAGGATTGTTGGAAAAATAATGGTATAATTGAATAAAATTGATGCTATTTATAATAAGTCATGTCACTTGGTGAATAGAATTATTATAATAAGTCATCTCACTTGGTGAATGGACTTAATTTTAGTTGCATCCATTCAATTATACTTATTAGCTTTTAAACAATTTTTTTAATGAAATGTTTTAACTATTTATCAAAAGATCCTAACCTTTTTATTCATATCCCATTGCCTATAAATAGGTTAATTGAGGCACAATCTTAGACACAACTTTGAGATACATTTCACAAAGTTGAATTAGGAAATCACTTAGAAAATTTATTTCAAATTCGTTCTTTCCAGTGATAGAAAAAGACAAGATTGTGTTCGATTAATCACTACGGTTGTGCTTACTGTTGTGATCATTAGTTGTTGTATCTTGGGAGACCGACACCCAACGTTACTCAAAGTACCTAAGAGATGACGATTCTGTCTTAACGAAACTGTTCTTACATGCCCCAACAAAATTTTTCTTCGATTTAAGTTACTCTACTCATCCGATTCAGTGTCTAAATATGAATAAATTAATTTATTGCCTCTACTTTAAGTTTTATTTATTTTGCATTGTTCGATTATATAATAATAATATTTATTATTATTATTATTATTATTTCGGATTAACATTTTTTTCTAACATTTTATCTAAAATAGTTGAATTAATAATTTTTTGAGTTGATTAACTATATCATTTTTATTTGAAACTACTTTTCAAATAAAAATTATTATTATTTAGGATTAACATTTTTTGAAAAGTAGTTTCAAAAGTACATACTGCATTAAATGATTTGCTAGAGTTTGGATGTGATATTCATGAATTATCTTTTTTAAGGAAACATAATTTATATTAAATTGATTAATTATAAAAGTTTTTTTAATTAATCACTGATATTCGATTTATTGACTGACTAATTCAGATCGAGTATTACAAAGACAAGGGTGATCCTCTCAACCCAATTTGCTTCATTCGTAAACACTAAGATTTAAACCCCTAACCAAGTGGTTGTTGGTTATAAAAGTTCTTTTTAAATGTACTTATCGTTGAACTTTATGAAGTGTATTATTTATATGGTTGAACTTTTAATTACTTTAGTTATAATATCAAAATTTAATTTTAATTATAACATTAAATTTTCAAAATTCAAATGATGTAATGATTTAGACAAACTAATATCATCTTGATGTGACTATTAATGTCTAAAATGAAGTCGTTTCAAACAACAAACTTTAAGGATGTATCGATTTTGTCATTATACTTTTAAATAATTCACTTAGGCATTAAACTTTTTTGTCACCGGTAATAATGAATCAACATCCTTCACTAATTATAAATTGTGACAAGATTGATATCAAAATGTTTATATTTCACTCTTTTTCTCTCATATCGGGATTGATTTTTGACAAAATCTACCCAAAATCGATAAAATTAAATAAAAAAAAGGAATGGCATATGAACAACATATCTGAAAACTTTAGATGATTTTTCATTGACTTTGAGTGAGTTTTGTAGAAAATCAGCCCGACAAAAAGAAAGAGGAATGACATATAAATATTTTAATATTGACTTTGCCACAATTGGTGATCAATGAAAGGAGACGATTAACTGTCGGTGATTAAAAAAAGCTAAGTGTCTAAAAGTAAATCTTTTTAAAATTTAATAGTAAAATCAATATACCTCTAAAATTTAATGCCTAAATGATATAGTTTTAGACATCATTACAACTATTTTATCTATATCATCGTAATAATGAAAAAAAAATCATTTATCATAATACTATTATAATTTAACGACTAAACATTATAATTAAAGTTAAAATTAAAAATTAATTTTATAATTAAAACAATTGAAAATTAACTGAAACAATGATCTAATTATTTTTTATTAATTTAAGATAAATATAAAATAATATCTATTTTAAGATAAATTTTTACGACATAAAAAAATTCACTCATGTTTAATTATTATTTTTATTATATACGAAAAAGAATACACTTATCTAATATTCTCTTCCAAATAAGAAAAATCATAGTCATTTCATCTTAAAGTAAGAAAGAAAGAAAGCAAAAAAGTGTTTTCCGTTCATTTGGTTTATTCCAATTCCCACACAAAAATCCATTTCCACTAACAAACTCAAAATCATCAAGTTGTTCAATAAAAAAATAAAAACCATTTCAGCTTTGACTTCTAAGAATTCTTTTCCTTTTTGTCTCCTGAAAGTTTTTGCAAAATTCAAGCTTTGGGTCTTTCTGTTTTCAATCAGATCTGATTATGTTGAATGTCAAATATTGATTTGATACCTTGAAAAACAGGCCCTTGGAATTTGCAATATAATCAACAACTTTTTGTTTGAATTGTAATGGATTTGGATGATTTCAGATCAGTTCTTGAAACCGCTGGTGTTGATGTGTGGACTTTTATAGATACGGCAATCCTGGTAGCTTCTTTGGATTATGGCCAAGAGTTGAAGCAGAGGAGAGATGGGATAGTGGAGAGGCTTTATGCTACTTCCATGGTTACCAGGTGTAAAAGCTGTGATTTTGGTGATAGATCAAATGGATATCAAGCAAATAAAGAAGATAGCCCACATGAAGCTAAAGGAGGAAAAGGGTCACCTTTTACTCCTCAATCAGATAAAGATAATGAAGATGATGATTTGGACCCTTATGGAGGCTTGTTTGATGATGAGCAAAAAAGGGTTCTTGAGATTAAGGAGCGTCTTGAACTACCTGATCAGGTCTTTGATTTTTTCTGCAATTCTATTGTTGATTTGATAAATTGTTTTGGATTTTGATTTGAATGGATACATGTTTTTAAATTGGTTGTACAGTCTGAAGATTCTTTGGTTGATTTACTTCAGAGCTTGGCAGACATGGATATAACATTTCAAGCTCTCAAGGTAATAATCATGTGGAACACTTTTTGTGTGTGATAATTTCCTGTTTAGTTTGATTTTAAGACCATTGCCATGTTATGATTCTATCTTCAGGAGACTGACATCGGGAGACACGTTAACAAATTGAGGAAGCATTCATCAAACGATGTTAGAAGATTAGTGAAGCAACTTGTCAGGTTTTATTGGACTTACGGAAATCACATATATGTTCAAAAATTTATCAATGGAAGTGTGTTATATGATTTGATTCTCTGTTTCTTCAGGAAATGGAAAGAGATTGTAGATGAATGGGTAAGGGTGAATCAACCTGGAGAACCTGAACCTGCTGGACTTATGGGTAAAATTGTTATCTAAACTGTAATATGAAGAATTTTGACATGTCACTAAAGTTAAACTGCCTATGAATATTGTCTACCAGCAGATGGAGATTCACCGCAACAAAAGCTCCCTCAAAATGGTCGCCAACAGGTTAAAGAAGATGTTTTTCCATGTGAATGTTGTTTTGGAATTCTGCCTTATTTTTCCCCCTTTTTGTATCTTTCTAATATTCTTTTCTGTTATAGGTTCCTGATTTTGCATACTCTCCAAATCCACACAGTAAGTATAGTATCTGATTCAAAGTTGGATATGATATTTGTATCTTTCTTTTTTGCTCCAATTAATCAACCTTCTTTTTAATGCCTTTCCATATGACAATTGACAGATGGGAGTTTTGTTTCAGACAAGAATAATTCCGAACCTGAAAGGAAGCCAAATCCGATCCCTCCTCCCCGAAAGGAGCCTCCATCAAGATATACTCACTCAACTCCTCCACGAAACATACAGGTACTAGTACATAACTAATTGGAGCTTCTCATTGAATCATTGCTTTGTTGACAGACTTGGAGATCTGATACCAAATTTAGATAGCAAATGCTTTCCAAACGATTTGTTGACGCGGAACTGGTGTTTTTACAAATTCCCATGATTCTGAGTTTTTCGATTCTCAAGGAATGAGAAGTTATTGTTACTTACCACACCCAAATAGTTTATGTTAGCCGAAAGGCCAAGGGAAACCTCAACTTAATTTAACCATTTTAGTGTAGCTGGTTGTCCAAAGGGTTTGGCTTGATGAGCTTATATTTGTATATACTTTTTCATGCTATTTGTTGAATCACCTTTCTGAGGGTTTCGTAGAGGCAGAGAGAACAAAAAGAAAGCAATTTTGACTCTGAAAGGCTGGCTTCTGCAAGGAAAAGGCTTCAAGAAAGTTACAAAGAAGCTGAAAATGGTTTGGTTTCTTCTCCTCTTCCACAATTTACTTCATCTTGAATCACTCACTTTTGGTTCATACTAAATGTGATTGTCTGCACCTTTTGTGTGCTTTTTGAAGCCAAAAAGCAACGAACGATACAAGTGATGGACATTCACGAGCTACCAAAACCCAAGAATACCTTCTTTGCCAAAAACAAGGGAGGTGGTTCTCAAGGGAGGCACTGGTGATTGGGTGAATGAATTCAGATTAAACAACATCTTATCTTTGGCTGTTCATTTTTATGCTGTGAATGTTGTATAAGATGGGTGTACTCTTCCTATCTTTTATAGGTTATCTTTCCATGTTCTTTCACGGATATGTACTGAACTATTTGTCAATCATTTGAAATTCTTGAGGGCCATGGACATCCATAACCATTCTATTGGGGGTGAACAGTGCTTTTTTGTTTGACATTTGTTACCCTTTCCTCCACCCCAAATGTTCAATGTTTTTGATTTGTAATATATTTTAGTTTTCTTAGAAGGTATCTCGTCTTGGAAGTATGTTACTATCTTTCATTTTTTATCAACTCAAGCTGACTCGACCTTGATGATAATAGCTGATATAATAGGCAAACTGATTGTTCAAATTAATGCATACTCCTGGCAGCAGTACTTTGTGGAGTATGGTTACAAGGAAGTTTGACTATTTATTTGTTTATTTTGCTCTACCTTTTAAAAGTTCTGTAAGATACTCAGGAATAAGGATTTTGATTCAATTGCGAGATACCATCTATCATACATTGATAGGTTGCGCAGAGAAACTTCTTTTTTCGAAAAGTTTTCTGCCACCATGTTTATGTTTAGAGCTGTTTTTCTCGACTTCTAGCTAGGATCCTCAGGTGGCAGGGAAAATTTTTGGACTTATTATATGAAACTTGTTATGAAAATGGCATTGGGCCAACTAACTCATATATTCAGATTTTGTGACCAGAAACCTAATTAGATTGTTTATAGAGCCCGACTGATGTTGTGTTTCATTTTACTGTTAATCCTTGCTTGATATATGATAAGGCTACTTAACTTGCATCTGTAGAGAGGGTCAAGGGGACTCTATGTGGTTAATACAAATTTATAGGAACAGTGAGGTCAATCTATTGTATGTGACCTCTCTTCTGTGGTCATGCATTTTCATTGATGACTTTTAGCTTATTTGTTTCCAGTAGTTGTTTGTACTTATAAGGATGCCTCAATCAAGCTTGTTATTACCTCTTTAACTGGCATATTTGCAGTCATCCTAGTACTTTTGTTCCCTATTTTGCTTGGACTCACTGGTAGGTGTTGGATATGGGTATTTGTCCAACAAGAATATGCTCAAAATTTTCTACTTTTCCTTGTATTTGGAAAATCATACCCCCATAGCGTTGTCCGAATATATGTCGGATACGGTTTTTGGACATGGGCACTTTAGGTGAAAATGAATATTAGAAGCAGCATAATTTGTTCCCCTTTCTGCAATTTTATTCTTTTTATAGGTTGCAAACATTTTTCTCAGTGATCTCATTTTGTGAGATTTTTCTCACTTGAAACTGAATGCTTAGGAAAACATGGCTTGTTTTCCCATCCACAAAATCCAAACCATAGTATTCCCCTGGAGCAAAACAAAAGAAAAAGAAGAAATATCAAACATAGTTCCGCTTCTCTCCGCCTTTCTGTTCTCTCTAAGATGATGTTCCGTTAAACCATTTTTCTTGTTAGTTTTGCTTGCAGGTGGTGCAGATTCAAATGGCCATCCTTCACTATGTTTTAAGCAGAGAAGAGTAATAAGGCTCTTTATAAGTGCTTTGCATCTTGATGAATTGATCAATTGTGCTTCGACCCATGTTCTATGACCATAACTGACTAGAAGTGGCCTTCAGCTTGTTATGCTGGTTGGTGGATGTAATCGATCAAATTCTGTGGTACTCGCTGTAATCACAGTAAACTTATTTTCTTTAATGAAATCTTGTTTTGTTTTAAGGTAAGCACTACATTTTGCTTAAACTATAAACATGCATGAACAAGATATGTTGGGGAACCTACGGCTATGGATGACATCCATGATTTATAGATTTTATGAAGTTCGATGCATAAGATTGTCGATGACTTGAACTTAATTACATGAATCATCTTCTATATCTCCCTTCAGGTTCTAATGACTTGCATTGAACTGATGATTTTGCACAATGAGCAAATGTTATGACTTTCTAAGAAATTAAAGTTCTAATATAATATCAAGTTCTCATGTTCTTTTACAAGAAATATTACTCAATAATTTCCCCTTTTATTTTTCTTTTTCTTTCCTTATTCCCTACAAATTTATTTTTGCAGGTTAATCCCTTGTCAAAGTAAAGTTCTATATAAAAATATATTTCTTTTTGACAATTATATCTACGTGCAAGTCCATCTATGTTACTTGGACTCGATCATGAGTGTCGGACATAGGTATATGCGTCCAATAAGTTCAATTTTTTTTTCAGGACTTTTATGTATTTGGAGTCTTTGGAGGATCATACCCTGACAATCATGTCAAGATGCGTCAGTTTGCTCTTCATAATAAACCATAACTTTTTTTTTACATTATAAAGTACTAGCACCTATTGTTGAATGTCTGATAGGATGCAGGTATGCTCATCTAACTCTGGGTTCGAAGCATGTTTATTTCGCATTTCTTTGAAGAAAGTGAAAAAGAAAACGCCACGAGTTAGATTTTCTGAATTGCTATACTGTCACTCTTTTGTTCCTCGAGTTTTCTTGGCTTGCAATTGCTAATTGTTTCTTGTTTAACAGTGAAGCCCCAACAGGTGCCCATTGTTCTTGCTTAGATGTGTCTACTGGATCGACTCTCAACACTTGCTGGATATCGATACCAGCAGGGAACGAAGCCGTCCCTGTTTCTTATATGGATCTACTTAAGTGTGTACCACGTATTTAACATACGACTAAACCCGTTGCAGCGACGTAGGGCTTGGTCGAATCGTGCTGTGCTTTGTTTTCGATGTTTCAGGAAGCTAAGCGACATTCTATATGGACAAATGATTCGAGCAGAGATTATGGAATTGTGCTTAACATATTAGTATTACTGAGGGTTTTGATTACGGAATCAACTTAGAAAAATAAGGGGATGCATGTGCAGATGTTGAGCAAACTTTGCTATGGTTTTGTTGAAACTTTAGAATTGTTGATATTGAAACTTGTGCAGCATGCAGGACTTGAAGTATACCAGTAATTACATAGGGTAATATATGTAAATGTGTTGTTCTCCGGATTCTTTCTTCTGTTAATTGTATAAATATAAGTATTATAAATATATATTATGTTATTGTCAAGATCATGTTGGATTTCTGTAGGAAAAGATAAACAACAACGTTTGTTGCGAATGGTCTGATGGGAAAATAACAGAGATAACATACAATGCCTTTGGCTCCAGACATAAAGCAAACAACATTTAGGAATTGAATTGAATTCCCTAATCTGCATAATGTGTCTGACAGACATAAAGAATCGAAGTCCAATCCAGTTATTTACAGTCAACATCAAACCAGAAATAGAGACAAGTTCGAGCATAAATCACCCGAACTCGCTGTAGTGCCAGATCTCCACTGGTCAAAACAGCCTTTGCACCTCCTTCAATCCGAGTGTGAGATACAGAAACGCAATCCCCGCTGCTCTTTGAGTTGGACGGGAATGTCCCACTACCAGCCGTACTCACAATCGGGCAAGATAGATAATCCAACGGGTTCGACTCACACTGAAGTATGCATTCATCTATAATTAGCCTTCCGCTCCTATGAAGCAAGCAGCAACCTAGCTCCACCTTTACCGTTAAGTTCGCCAGCTTGCAGGTTGATAGAAATTCCAATGCACTGCTCCAGCAAAATGAAAAGCACATACACATGGTTGTTTTGCTCGATAAAGGGGAGAAAACAGTACTTATGACCTAATGAGAGCCATCTCCAGATTGTTGAACATCTATGTTCTTTCATAGCAGCCAGACATGCAATTTGCCGGAAAGAAGATTCCTGCCGATCCATTCTTAATATTGTGGCTGATTTCCAACAATATGGAGGTGGCTCGAAACAACGTTTCTAGATATAAGATGTATCAACCTCTCAACAAATCACCATTCAATATACAAGGCAAAAACGTATCTGGAAAATTTGCAAACCTGTCTGAACCTCGCAAACAGACGAGAGTTGTTTCATCAGGAAGCTCACCTCCACCGATCTGAAGAAAGTAAGTTGAGGTAGACGTGTGACAAAAGCAAAAGGCATTTTGCTACAATAATAACTAAAAAGTTAAATATTCATTCTCTTCTCATGGCCTTGATGTCTCTTTACCAGGGGTCCAGGAGACAATTACATAGCACCGAGAAGGGGATGGGGAAAGAGACCTTTAAGAGAATTATGTCCTACAGCTCGTTCCAAGTGGCTTAAACGTTTTCTGAACATGGTCTTGAGTCATCCATTTTAGGATGATAATAGAATCTTAAACCTGAAGTTGTCCTCATAGTAAATAACGAGAAGGGTTTATAATTTAGTCCAAAAGGGATTAAAAGAATGTAGGTAGCAGTAGTAGGAAAATTACCCAAAGCCCGATAATTGAAACGAATAGGCTGCAATTGGTGTTGGACACGAGTTTTTTTTCTCAAACATTCATATTTCAAAGAGTAAATATAATTTAGTCCAAACGGGATTAAAAGAATGTATAATTAACTTTTGCAGAACCCTCAAGACATACCAGGCAGAGTGGTTTTTCAATCTGAATATTAGAGGCAAGATGACTGCCTCCAGCTGTGATTAAAATAGTGTCACCAGGTCTGAAAGGGAGAATTTGAAGATGATGGTTTCATAAATATACAAATAACCACCAAACCACAAATTAGAGATAAACGATTTACCTGGCTACAGACACAGCTTCTTCTATGTTAGGGAAGACACCAGGTTCAGAAAAATCCTTCACGGATCTATCTACTCGCAGCCACAGTCGAGGATGGCATGCCAAATAACACCATCTGTGGCAAACGAGGGCGGTGTTATACCGATCTGCAACTCAATAGCATTATGTAAAAGAGATTGCAATTGGTAATGGGGTTGAAAAGCAGAATAAATGACCATGCCTACTTAAATTCTTTCAAGTCACAAGAATGTGAAACTTCCGAACACCAATCTGAAGACAATTGGTCCTCAAAGAATGAAAATAGAGAAAAAGACACTAAGAATGCTATTGCAAAGCAAATTATTTGAGATGCATTTTTTCAGACCTTTTTGCTTCATTAGTGTCGAGTTCTCTTGTTAAACAACTAAATATCCCACCATTAGCACTGCATAACTAAAGATACAAGAATAACACTAATTTGGATGCATTCAATAAGAGAAATCTTTCGATGACAATAAAAAAAAAATCTGTACATCGCAGCCACCATTTTACCGTCCTACACTGGAAAAGTTTTGCTAAGCTTCCTCTTTAGTATAAGTAGTCAAATTCCTGAAGACCACGGGATCCATCGATAACAATTAAGTAGAAACCGAGTAAGTATATATTGAACTAGAGTAAAGATTGGTAGGTATAAAACACAAACTGAGGGCGTCGTCAATAGAATGAAAGTGAAGCGAATTTCAGGTTGTTGGTTTTCTGAATAACAGCAGCATTCTGAATCCAACAACCCTAAATTAAGGTATTTGGGATTGAAAACCAAAATGAAAGCTCAGGTTCTTAATCTAACCCAATAATCAGGCACAAACAAGATTCTGCAGAAACAAGAACTATCAGAATCAAATACATTTACACATGCCTTCCCACTCCATCATAAGAACCACCAGACTGGGGAAAAAGAAATGAATTCAACAAAGTCAACTTCACACTAATTAATACCTAAAATAGCTAGAATTAACATTCAGTTCACTTCCAATAAATCTAAAATTAACATTAATTCTTATCAACAAGGTAAAATGCCTAAAAATAATAAAATTGCTTCATTAATATACCAGGGGGAACTACAATTTTCTTAATACCCAGATATAAAAATACAGAATTGAAGATAAATATACAATCATACCACCAAATGAAGCAATCTTTTCAGAACTCAATGAAAAATATTCATTAATAAAAGGGTTTATTTGGGGGGGGGGAACCCAACCTGGAATGGGAGATAAGAAGCTGAAAATATGCATGAGGCAACCATCATCAAATTTATTAATAAGAGCAGAAGATGAAATCTTTCGGGGTTTTCTCTTCTCTTGCTCCACCTCCATGATCTACCTTTTTTTTAAGATGAAGAAAGATATTTCTCTATTTTTTGCTCTTTTTTAAAGATATATTGTGACCGAGTAACTTTATGTAATAAACAAAAAACCTACACGACAGTCGAACACGAGTTACTAATTCGGTTGATTCTTTTAGAGTTGAACTCAACGGATTTACAGGCCGAATTACAGGCCGAAACTAGCAGAAAGATTTCATGGTCTTAAGACCATGTTCTTAATGAAATGCTCAACATAGTCTTCTTAAAATAGTGAAAAAGCCCACCATGTTTCTAATGGCGGTGCTACACTTTGTGCTCAAGTGGTTTCCCACAACGTTTGATATATGTTTGGAGTACACTAAATTGTACGAAGCATAAAGTTTTCTTTTATTTATTTTTATAAAATTCGAAAGTTTTATTAAATATGAAAAATATTTAAAATTACAATGAAAGTTATAATATAATTGTACACTAAATATATAATCAAGATTTTTTACAACTATTGACATAAAAAATAGTTACTTAAATTCATATAAGACCCTACAAGAAAAATGTTAAAAATTCATTTAATAAGTTCGAACAAAAGAGATAGATACGAAAATATTTGACTATACCGATACATGAGTCACAAAAGAGAATCAAACTATTAAAAGATCACGATAAAATAATAAATCAGAGACAAGTGATGAAAGAAAACTATTTACGAATGTAAATCGTATATCTAAATTCAATCAGAGGGTACAAAGAAGGAAAAATCAGCAAGAATATAAATAAGTGAGAATGTCAAATCCAACCCTGAGAAAAATATAAACGAAAAAAATCAATCAAACGAATTGAAAATGTGCAAAAAAAAACTGATGAAAATGCACTATAAAAACAGATGAAAACGTACAATAAAGATAACATTATTAACAGAAAACTAAAAAAAGAAAAGGAAAAGTAAAGATGTGATATAAGAAATAAAAATAATAATAAATACATATGATTGACGATCAACACTAAAATTAATATAATCGTCTGTTAGATAAGGATAAAGAAAAGAAGAAAAAAAGTATCAACGCTTGTAGAGAGAAAACCTAAACCCTTAAGATGACTAGGGTTTTTATTATGAAAGAGAAAATTACCCTTAGATATATATGATTATGTGATGTTTGTGAAGTTTATAAATAATTAAATTTTTTATAGATATAATTATGTAACGTTCACACTTTTTTGTTTAGGAATTGAACCATATCTCCTCTATCAATCATTTCAGTAACATCTTTCATTTCTTTTATATTGTTTTTTAGTTTTAGATAATTATTACTCAAAAAAAAAGTTTTAGATAACTCAATTAGGTAGTGATTAAATTAATTAAATAATTGATCGTTTAAGCAAGATCTGAAGTTCGAGTCCTTGTGTATGTATAAAATCTCTGCTGAGAGATTTATCGACCAAAACCATATGTGAGATGCGAGTCGTTTCGGATTAATCAAGACGAAACCTTATAATCAAGAGGACAATAAAAAAATACTTATTAATTAGTTGATCATAGATGAAAAATGAAACAATGGCCAAAGTCATTGTGAAACGATTTTTATTATATCACATTGACATTAAAGTGGATTGAAAATTTTCATATGATTGGACTTTACAAAATGTTTTAAACGTGGATAATGTAATATATTTGTATGAAAATCTAATTATTAGAATACACTCTCATATAAATATATATTTTTTTAATTCTTTAAATATATTTGACTGATAAAGTGTAATTATATCTTAATATCATATCATATTTGATAGCACATATTATAATTATACAATCACATATGCTTACATTTTAAAATAATATTAATTATGCACGAACCAACTTACCTCAGTGGTTAAAGGAAACATTGTTATTCCCAAAGGTCATGGGTTTGAGTACCAGCGACTGCAATTGTGATTGAGCGTTCATTGTCAAATGATTGAGAATATTTAGAATATATACCACTTTCTAATCACCTTTAGCTTTAACAAAAAATAAATATTAATTATAGAATTGAAGATTGTAAATAGCCCCGTAATTACATATGAGAGAGAACCATCTATAAATTTGCAATGATTGATTAAACATGTCACGTTTATATAATAACATATAATTACACTCAATTTCAATTACCAGGTGATTTTTTTAGACAACCAGTGAATAAAAGATTAAATTAAATCCAAAACAAAATTAATAAAGGCTTTCCTTCTATCCCCATTAATATTGTAAGAATAGGACCACTTGTTGGACCGATCAAACTAGAGGTATAATATAGATGAGTCAAGTTCAATTTAAAATTCGAGAGGAATTGTTACTATTTTTGAAGATTCGAGTTCGAGTATCATAGATGTCAGGGATGTAAGCGTTCAATGTCTAGAGGTTGAGAGTTATCACAGATAGTGTCTTATATTTACCCCAGATTAATAAAAAAATCGAGACATGATATTTGACTTAGTTTAATCAAGCACTATTTTTTTTTAAATTTGCATTTGACTCGACATATAATTGAACTAAGTAAATCTTAGTTTAACTAAACTCTTTTAAAAATATTATATTTAAATGATAAAATTTTAAATTATATTTAAATTATAATTTTTAAGATAAATAGGTGCAAAAAATAAAATAACAACAATAAATAAAAGATATATTTTATATTTAAAATAATACTAATAACTTTTATTTTATACAAAATATTAATTAAAATCCCGGTTCTTAACTAATTTGATTATGTAACGTCTCAAAATTTGAGTTAATATAATCAGGTAAGAAATCGAGTAGCTAGTTCAAATCCTCTTAATTTGTTTTAAAAAAAAAATCAAGTCAAAGTAAAATTTCATTTAAGACTAGTTTAACCTTAAATTAAAAATAGTTGAAAAGGAAAAAATTAGAATTGGATTTTTTTAATAGAAACCATTAGTTTTATTAAAAAAATCTAAATTACAATAAAGTTTTATAACTATAACTGTAAACTAAATATATAATAAAGACATTTTCCTATAATCAATAACACAAGGAAACTAGTCACTTAAGATCACAAAAAATAAACCATACAAGAAAAATGTTAAAAATATAACCAAATAAACTCGAACAAAAGGTAAATACGAATAGATCTGACCGCATCAACAAACGAACCACAGAAGAGGATCAAACTATTGAAAGATCACTGGCAAAATGAAAATCAGAGTCGAGTAACGTGAAAAGATATCTACGAACGCAAATTCTATATCTAAATCTAATTCGAGGGTCTAAAGCAGGGAAGATCAGCATGATAACATATAAGTGTCATATTGATCAGTCGTGACGATGTCAAATCTAACCCTGAAAAAAAAGATAAATGAAAACAACGATCAAATGAATGAAAACATGCCATAAAAATAGAGAAAAACGTGTCACAAAGACAAAATTATTAAAAACTAATAAATAAATAAATAAATAAATATATGATGTAATAAAATAAAAGAAAATTAATAAATATCAGCGGTCAACGACCGACACCAAAGCTGATGTCACCGCTGATCACAAAAATGAAGAAAAAAAAAGACTAACGGTGACAAAAGAAAGGAGAGAAAACTAGGACAAACCCTTTTGTAGAATATAATCAATTGAAATATTAATTAAATACTTTAATATAACTAGGTATTTGCTTAAATTAGAAAACTCTGTAAGATTAATTTAGAATTAATTTTAACTAGGGAAAAATTATTTTATAAAAGATCAAGAACTCTAAGTCTCCAAGACAATTATAAATTAGAATTCCAACGGTTGCTAAAACAATAAATTATCTCACTCACAACTATCTATCTAACTTTCCATATTTTTCGAAACTTTCAAACACCCATTTCTGTCTCAACTGTCTTTTAGAATTATCTCAAATTTCTCCCTACTTTCTCGGTTTTTTTCTCATCATTTTTAAAGGATTTTCAATAAATCATCCTCCATTTTTCATATTTTTTAACGATTATGTAACATTTTTATTAATCTTATATGTTCTAATCTTAGTTCTTAATGATTTCTAAAGTAGTACGAACCAACTTATCTCAGTGGTTAAAGGAATCGTTATTATTTCTAGAGGTCAGGGGTTCGAGCACTAGCAACTACAATGATGAATGAACATTCATTATTAAATGGTTAAGAGTACTTAGAACATACACTGTTCGAGCACTAGCAACTACAATGATGAATGAACATTCATTATTAAATGGTTAAAAGTACTTAGAACATATATTGTTTTGTAATCACCTTTAGCTGCATCATCAAAGATCGATGAGTGTCTTTAGTTGGTGCATTCATTTCAATGCAGGGAGTTAATTGAGGGCTTAAGGTTAGGTTAATAACCTAAATTAAATCCAAAGTATATGTAAAGTTATATTTTTGTTTAATTTCAATTGTTTTGATTCATTATAGGTATACATGATGTTCTCTATTATGAAAAGTTAGGATGTAAGCATGTATGTTCGATTTTTTTGATGCACAAATTTTAAATTATATCAATATGAATGAATATGATATAAAACAAATCTGGCACTCATTAGTGCATATTTATGAATATGAAAGCATGTTATATAAATATGATACATGTTAGAATATGAACAATAAATAACCATGACATAATTGTGATTATATATTTATTTTATCAAATTTATTTAAAAGATATTGTCATTATTGTTTCAGCTTATTTTTCTATGCATCAAAATAAACTGATTTATAATAAAATCATGAGAAATAATTATTCTTAAAAGGTTTTTAGTCCATTATTATTGTGGGCTTAGACACATTAAGATTAATATTTAGTTTATTGATGACAAAACATTATCATTGCATAAGAATATGAAAACTAATGCACGAATATGTGTTAAAGAACACGTATTAGATTAACCCACTATAAGTATATTTTTTGGATTATTTTATAACAGTCACAATATTACTTACGATGATGATTATATATATATATTAATATTATGATCATTAGTCACAACATTACTTACGATGATGATTATATATATATATATATATATATATATATATATATATATATATAT